GGACCTCAAACAGCTCCATGCCCGCCCACACCCCCTGGAGGGCAGGAGAGCTTTGGAGCTCTTCATCCTGAAACAAAGCCCTTCTGCCCCTTTCCGGGTCCCACTGCACGGCCCCTGTGGTGGACTCTACAAGGGCATATCATGCCCTTCTTTGAGGTCCTTTTCTCCGCTCCCAGCTGCCCTGTGGCGAGACCAGCTTGTTCCCCTACTAAGTGACCTGGGGCTGTGGGGGATGAGTCCTCGCTGACTTTGGCAGGTCGAGCTCCCCCTACCAGCCAGGTGTCTTTGGATTAGCTCCTTGCCCTGCATCATCCTTGTGGGGTGGGCGTTGGTAGATGGCAGAAGCTGCGGCGCTCTCTGGGAGTGGCTTATTCCTGCCCCCTAGTGCTCTCACCTTGTTCGCCCCAATTAAAGACCCACGTGTTGCCCATTAGTGTCCCGGGTAGTGTCACTGCTCCAGGCACTGATATTGGATTGACGACCCCACGCCCAAACTCACTTCCCAGGGCTGCTGCTCCTGGATCTCAGAGCGAACTGATTCTGAATGCAGGAGCAAAGGGGTTAATAGCCGTGCTCTGCTGAGACCTTTGTTTGGTTTTGTTAGTCACTGAGTAAACTGGGGCTTAACGTCAGGGGTGAACTGGTAGGGGAAAAAATTGATTTAATCCAGGAATGACCAGGTGTGTGTGTGCATGCCCTGTATTGGATGATGTGTGCCCAGTTGTGCAGAACTGCCCAGCTGTGTGTCATTGGCCCTATATTGCTAACAGCTGAGGGTGATTCTCCAGTAGCCCAAATGAAGGGGGCCTGTGTTTTTTTTAACAGGGGATCTCAGTTCTAACCTCAATGGCACTGAAGGTTTGAGTGGCCACAGTCCACAGCAGTGGTGACAGTGAAGTCCCAGGTGGTTGTGGACTTGTTATAATACCTTCTTGGGGTGAGGCATCGGGTGTGGGAGGAGACCAGTGTTTGGGGTCACAGCTGAGAGAACATTCTGCTTCCTTGTTCCACAGCAAGGAAGACAGGAGAGAAGAGCAGTTTGCTGGGGTGTGATTTTGCTCCTGGTGGGAGTACATGGGAGGAAGCGATCTTGGGGCAGGGCTTGGTACAGGAACAAGAGCTGAGAGCAGCAGAGCTAATGCTGGGGACTCCAGAGCATTCGTGGGGCTGGCAAGCTGGAGCTGCCGGCACTGTAGGGGTTAATGATGGAAGCGGTGTGTTCACCAAGATTGCCAGCCAAGCACCGAAGAGAGGAATAGTGCTGTTTTATTCTTTGAGTTAATTTTTTTTCCCTTCCCAAGCTTGAGTCTGAATTTGGCTGAGGCCAAACTGCGGTGAATTGTGAGTTCTCCGCTCAGGAGCGGCCCATTGGCATCGGAGCCTGGCAGGGTGGAGCGGGAGGGGCTGTGTTGGGTGCTGCTCGTTAAGAGTGAAGGTGAATGCTGCGCTGGAGGCCAGTTGTTTGCTGGGGCGCAGGACAGGAACGGCTGGGTCTGCAGCCGAGCAAGCTTCCCCACCCGCGCCAGGAGCCTCAGCCCCCAGAGGCATCACTGCTGGGGAGACCAGGGCATTTGGGCTTCCAGGGCCTGTTCAGTCCTTGGCCGCTCTTCATCGTGTGATGATTTGGGTTGGTGGGTTTTGTTATGTGGACACCACCCAGTGGGAACTAGGCTGAGACCCAACAGCTCATTTCACACAGGCCACCAGTGATTGGCTGCTTGCTACTCTCCTGGAACCAGATTCAAACCAGTGATCTAGGCCTTGATGGGCACCGTGTCCCCAAAGCCGCTTGGTGTCCACCACAAAGGGACGTCTGCCGGCGTCCCAGGGCCATTGACTCCAGCTGGAGCTGCAGATGCTCGCACCACTGAACATCAGCCGGCTTGTTCGCCAGTACAGCGGCCTGGCTGCTAAGCGGCTTCGCTTGGTCCACGGCAGCCGGGATCGGTCAAACGGCCTGCACTGGCTTCGTGCCACCTCGCCCTGGAAGGGAAGGTCCCTTTGCCAAGGGAAGGCCGACGTGTGAAAAGAGGCAGACGGGGTGAAACTGGCTAGTGAAGTGAAAGAGGCGGCTCAAGGCTCAGCGGTTTCAGGGCAAGAGGGCGATTGTTATTGGACAGACAGGGTGGCTGATGTGCTCTCTGTACATGCACTCCTGCGCGCGCTGCTCCCTGATGGCACACGGCAGGAGTTTGCAAGACAGTGTCAAGTCCAATAACGTATCCAGCATGCGCCAGGGATGCAGGCGTCCCTGGCTGGCGAAGGGTCTGCCCGTGCAGATAGTGGTGCCAATTCCTGGCTCCGCAGGTCACAATTTCCCAAGGAGCGGGGCTGATCAGTGCCTGGCACAGCCAGGGGCAGTGTCCAGTGCAGAGAGGGAGAGAGCGCCTAGCTTTGATCTGAGCCAGACAGGACTTTCCTGGGGCCCTCTGCCTGCTCTCTGATCCCTCCATTGCAGCCTTGCGGGTACTTGGGGGAGTTTGCCCAATCCCACCTCAGTGCGAGAGAACAGCAACCTGGTGTGGGAGCTGGCGGCAGGCAGCCTGCACTGAGGGGCCATGCAGATCACCTGCTCCTTGGGGCCCCGTGAAGAGGACAGCAGAGCAGACGTCTCACTATGCAGATGTCCTGAGGTCCCCCTGCCTGGCGGAGCAATGGCCCCATGCCTGCGCACTCCTGCAGTGGGTTCTCGAGTGCTGAGCAAGGGTGAAGCGGCTGGGGAAAGGCCCCTGCAGCAAAGAGACACAGGAAGGGAGAGAGCAGGGCTGGTGGTTGGTGTGGGGGGAGGATAAACACCAGCTCAGCTGCATGAGAGCATCCCCGAGGTGTTGGGAGCTGCTTCCCGAGGAACAATGGGAGCTGCTGCTAATGGAGGCCTCGCCGGGCAGCTCCAGGTCCAGCTGCTCCGGGCTCCAAACCCCAATGGCCCTGAGCAGCACTGACCTCCCTTCCTTTGGGGGGGTGGGGGGGTCAGACTCCTGCGGTCGCCTCTGGCTGAGGCTGAGTATACAGGGAGGGGCTGGAGAGAGGAGGCCAAGGAAGTTCTGCCGCTGAGTGCAGTCTGGGGGCAGAGGGGCTCTCGGCCCCCCTGGGCGAGGGCTCCGCTCCCCAGGCCCAGCCAGTGTGCACACCGGGCAGCTCTCCCCTAGGGGGTGAGAATTTCCTTTTCCTCACCCCAGCCACTGGAGGAGATGGGCTGTGGCCCATCACCCCATCGCAGAGCTCCAGCGGGACAGGTGAACGGACTTGTTTGGGGCCGGACTGGCATTTCTCCAATGCTGTGTTGAGACGGAGACCGGCACGGCTGGGAGCTCCCCCACACCCAGCGCCCCTCACCGTTCCCTGCAGCACCTCCTGGGCACCCCCACCATGACTGCTCCTGCAATGTTGCCCGATGTGCCCATCCAGCCATTGATTGCTTTCCTCGCCGTGAGGGAATGGCCTGTAACAGTGGGTCAGTGTATCTCCAGCTGCACTGAAGAGGGGGCGGGGTGGAGCCGGTCTTTGCCCTGAATAGACTCCCCTGTAGGAGAATTGCAGCCTTTGCTGCTGCTGGGAAGCCTCCCTGGCGCTCTGAGCAATGCCATGTTTGTGCATGACCTCCCTGGCAGACCCTTCGCCGCCTCGTCTGCTCCAGGATGGAGGAGGACGGGTCCTAATGCCCACTTTGAGCATGGCTGGCGCTCCCACCCAGATGCCTGGCCCAGATGGGCCCGCTGGGTTTCATGGCAGGTCTTGTCTGCATGCCCAGGTGAAGGGGCGCTGCATTCGCTGAAGGGCTGGTATGGCCAGCCTGCTCACAGGTGAGACTTATGTTTGAGGACCGACAGCTGCTGAATACACTGTCCATGCTGGCTGGCATCACAATGAGCCAGGCTTTGGGAATGGGGAGGTGTGTGTGTGTATTATGGCACAGCGCCCCCTTCTGCCTGCTCGTAGAGCGGCTGTGATCCTGGGACCGGGCTGGGAAGAGGCAGGGAGGGATTGTATCAGGCAATGTGGTGGAAGGAAGGGCAAGGAGACAGCTGTGTGGGAAGGTGAAGACCATTGGCCCGTCCTGCTGATGTTGAGTAGGATGTGGTGCTGGGTTCAGGCTGTGGCCCAGCAGAACGTACCACTAAGCAGTTCTTTGCCACTTGCCCAGAGCGCGTCTGACTGGGCCGCCGCTCCCAGCAGCACGCCCAGTGTCGAGGGGGGAGCGCCACGTGGGGCCGGCGGGCTCAACAGGAGTCCACCTTCCTAGCGTCCACATGGGACGTTACCTTGGACAGAGGCCCAGGCCAACGTGACAGCGCCGTGTGGCGACGTGACAGCGCCCGTGTCGCGACGCCCCAGTCCAGGCAGCACCATGTCACGACGGCGTCTGTGTGGCGCCTAGCCTGGATGTCAGACCCCTTTCTGGGGAGGGGAGGGTACAATCCATGAGGTGACTTGGCTGCCCTTGGAGCTGGGGAGGGGGAGAGCCGGTGGGGAAAGCTTCAAGCAGCAGCTGACATCTCTGGGCTGGGGCGGGGGGACACACAGGGAGAGGGACTGTCTGAATAGAACCCACGGTGTCCCTCCTGGCTGCCATTAAGCATCTCTCCCTCTCTCTGCCTGTCTCCTCTTAGCTGCAGGCAGGATACTGAAGCGCTGAATGGAGCTGCGCTGTGACCTACATTTCCCAAGGAAGCAAAGCGCCCCCAGCCCCCGGAGCTTCCTCGGCGCCTGCACCATGAAATGATGCAAGTGAAGCCCCTTCTGCCCCGGCAGGTGCCTCCTTAGCCAGGCTTCTCGCCCTGCCGCCTCACCTCACGCCCTTCGTCGGGGACGGCAGGACATGGCCAGCTCGGCGCCGTGGGCCCACTGGGGAGAGGCGGGCCTTGGCCATGGCTCTGGGCAGCGGCAGCGCTGGGAAGAGGCGGTGGAGCAGGGATCTGAGGGGTACATGGAGGAGAATGGAGTTGCTGGACCGGACGAGAACGGACTGGTGGGTCGCGCTGGCCAGTGGGATGAGTCCCCGGCCCAGGAGCCCACTGAACTGGAGTTCCTGGGGAACGTCAGGCTTATGAAGGGGCCATCTTCCCCCCAGGGGCTCTTGGCACAGAGTGACAGGAGCTTTGACCTTAGTGAACTGCAGGAGTTTGAGTGGAGCAGTGTCCAAGGAGACAATGCCAGGAGCCCACCCGCTGGTGAGTCAGCTCTCTCTTCTGTCCTCTTCCTCTGGTATCCTGTATGTACTACGGAGATAGCACAGATATCTCCGAGCAGAGAGTGACTGCCACAAGGGGGATGGGCGATGCCAGGGCATTGGGTGTTTTCTCCAGACCCCAGTGTCTTGAAGAACACAAATCCCAGTGAGCTTAAGTATATAGGTATTACCACTAAAATGCAGCTACCTCTGGGGTAGAACACTGAACCCATCGGATGTGTGCATCACAACAGTTTAGTACAGGAAGAGAGGAGCCAGTCTGTATCCAATTGAAACCGCAGTTGGCATGTGGTCTTTCATGATCACAAGGGATGAGGGCGTGCGTCTAACAGTCTCATTCAGCATTACAGCACTGGGGCACAGAGAACGCTACCTACTGAAATTCCAGTGCCCATACTTGCAACGCCTTAACGTTTTCCTGGGAGGTCCCTGTTAATCAGCTTATGAGACTTGGCAGGATCTGGGCTGAAGGTGCTATGGCTGCAGGCTAGAGAAGCCCTCCTGTTGGGAAGGGCCAGTTCTCAGGAAATTCACTCAAGCAGATTTTCTCCTGACGCGTCTGACGCACAAGAGGGGAGTGCCAGGTGCATCAGGTGTTGTGCAGGGAATATGCACCTGCATCTACCTCTCAGTGTGGTCACAGTTATGGCCTACAGACCATACATAAGAACGGCCATACTGGGTCAGACCAAAGGTCCATCCAGCCCAGGATCCTGTCTGCCGACAGTGGCCAATGCCAGGTGCCCCAGAGGGAGTGAACCTAACAGGTAATGATCAAGTGATCTCTCTCCTGCCATCCATCTCCACCCTCTGACAAACAGAGGCTAGGGCAGGGGTTCTCAAACTGGGGGTCGGGATCCCTCAGGGGGTCGCGAGGTCATTACATGGGGGGTCGCGAGCTGTCAACCTCCACCCCAAACCCTGCTTGCCTCCAGCATTTATAATGGTGTTAAATATATTTAAAAGGGTGTTTAATTTATTAGGGGGGGTCACACTCAGAGGCTTGCTATGTGAAAGGGGGCCGCCAGTAAAAAATGTTTGAGACCCACTGGGCTAGGGACACCATTCCTTACCTATCCTGGCTAATAGCCATTAATGGACTTAAACTTCATGAATTTATCTAGTTCTCTTTTAAACCCTGTTATAGTCCTAGCCTTCACAACCTCCTCAGGCAAGGAGTTCCACAGGTTGACTGTGCGCTGTGTGAAGAAGAACTTCCTTTTATTTGTTTTAAACCTGCTGCCCATTAATTTCATTTGGTGGCCGCTAGTTCTTATATTATGGGAACAAGTAAATAACTTTTCCTTATTCACTTTCTCCACACCACTCATGATTTTATATACGTCTATCATATCCCCCCTTAGTCTCCTCTTTTCCAAGCTGAAAAGTCCTAGCCTCTTTAATCTCTCCTCATACGTATTGGTAGAAGTCAGCTTTCTGGGAAGGAACCTGTAGAACTGTATGGTCAGAGGCAAAGTCCCAGCATGGTGCTAACTAGGAAGCCCAGCGTTGGAATAAATTACCATTGCGCAGCATGGAAAGATGTTAACAGCTGGAGTGTCCTTGGGGAGCAAACACCAGGACTAGTGCTGGTCAGGACATAGTCTAGAAGTCTGAAACCCCAGCCAGGAGACTCTTCATTTCTATTCTCAGCTTTGACACCAGACTGCTGCTTTCAGAGTAGCAGCCGTGTTAGTCTGTATCCGCAAAAAGAACAGGAGTACTTGTGGCACCTTAGAGACTAACAAATTTATTAGAGCATAAGCTTTCGTGGGCTACAGCCCACTTCTTCGGATGCATATAGAGTGAAACATATTGAGGAGATATATATACACACATACAGAGAGCATGAACAGGTGGGAGTTGTCTTACCAACTCTGAGAGGCCAATTAAGTAAGAGAAAAAAACTTTTGAAGTGATAATCAAGATAGCTCAGTACAGACAGTTTGATAAGAAGTGTGAGAATACTTACAAGGGGAGATAGATTCAATGTTTGTAATGGCTCAGCCATTCCCAGTCCTTATTCAATCCTGAGTTGATCGTATCTAGTTTGCATATCAATTCCAGCTCAGCAGTCTCTCGTTGGAGTCTGTTTTTGAAGTTTTTCTGTTGTAAAATAGCCACCACAGACTGCTGCTGTGTCTTAGGGCAAGTCACCAATGGTAAATTTTCATGAGTGCCTAAGACTAAGTCTACACAGCAACTAGACACCCACGGCTGGCCTGTGCCAGCCGACTCAGGCTCGTGGGGCTGTTTCACTGCTGTGTAGATGTCTGGGCTCGGGCTGGAGTCTGGGCTCTAGGACCCTGAGAGGTGGGAGGGTCCCAAAGCTGGGGCTCCAGCCCAAACTCAGACGTCTACAACCTGAGCCCAAGTTGGCTGGCACGGGCCAGCCGCAGGGTTTTTCTTCGCTGTATAGACATACCCTTACTCACTAAGCAGCCCAGATTGGGACGTCGGCACCTAAATCCTTTGGGCATTTCAGAAAATGTTACCCTTAATCTCTGCACCTTGCGTTCCATGGGCTGGGGATGGTGATTGTTCCCAGGGATGTTGAGATTGACTGGGTAATGTGTAAGATGGTTAAAATGAAAAACAGGCTAATGCTAAGGAGTTTAAGACCTTGGAATGGGAAGGGAACAGTGGAAGCAGCAAGATTTCCTGGTGGTACCAACATTTCAGTGAATTGAGACTGAGGAAGATTTTGTGAGAAACTCTGGAAGTAGCTGAAAAGAGGAGGTGTTTGAGCAGTGCAAATGAGTGGGAGCCACTTGAGCGGGTGAATGTCAGTGCAGTCCAGGGCAAAGTAATGGGTCTGGGAAGAAATCCTTAAGGCCGGTAAGATGCAGTGGTGGGTTTGGATTTAGTTGTAAAAGATCGAGCTGTCCTTGCCAACGTCTCCGTGGAGGCATCTGCTCAGTGGTGGCCGGAAAAGTCAAGAAGATATCCAGGGTACGTCTGCGCTGCAGTTGGGAAGGGTGATTGCAGGACGTATGGTGAGCGGGGGGCCATAGGCGGAGGGTCAGACTAGCCGCCTGACTACGCACCTAGGGAACCAGGTCGGGATTGTACTCAGGTGACTAGCCCATCCCACTGCCCGTGCAGCTACAGCTCTGTTTAGTGAACTAACCTGATCTCTGCTAGCTCAGCCGTCCCTCCCAACTGCCGGGTAATTGTATCCTTAGCCTGTATTGAGGGCCAAGGAATAATATGCAAATATCTTCATGTGGTTAATGATGACCCCTAATATATTCTCAGTGTTACATATATACTGAAGGTACGTCGTCCTCTGATGGATAGCATTCAAGGTTTGGCCATCTCCCCTTAAAGCCGTAACAGAAATAGAAACATCCGAAAGCAGGGACAATAAAAACGATTAGGGACGTTCGGCCTGATACTCTTGATGCACACCAGCAGGATAGGAGAAACTCCACTGGAGTTGATGGAGTTCCATCAACGTTAAAATGGTATGAGAGGAGAATTGGACCCGTTGGGCAAGGGAAGCTCCATGTGATTTTCCAGATTGACAAAATTAAGGGTAAAATGTTCAAAAGTGTCATCTTCTAAAGTGACTTGGGAGCTTCACTGGAAGTCGATGGAACCTAGGTTGCTACGGCACTCTTAAATATTTTACCCCAGGACTAGGTGGCTTGGCTTGGAGAATAGAAAAAAGAGAGATGCTGGAGGTCTAGAAATGTATGCATGGTGCCGAGAAAGCCACTTGGGCTGCTCCCATCTTGTAATGGAACAAGAGGGTGCTCAGAAAGGGTTAAAAGGCAGTATATTTTAAAATGGCAGAACTGGAAAGAATTACAGTTACGTAGGTGTGATCACTGTTTCTCTACGTAACATGACCTGTGGGACTCGCTGCAGCAGGAGAATATGGGGGCAAAAAGCATGGATTATTATTAAAAAACAAAACAAAAACCCCCATGTTTGTAGGAATAATAATACCACCACCTAGTTCTTACAGAGCACTTTTAACAAAGGAGGTCAGTATCATTACTGCCATTTACACATAGGGAAACTGAGGCACAGGACAGAAACGTGACTTGCCCAAAGTCCCTCAGCAGGCCAGTGGCAGGCCAGGAATAGAACCCAACTCTCCTGAGCAGTTTTAGGGGTTGGGTTCATGGGGAGAAATCAAATGAACAAAGACACCATAGAGCCCTTGGTGATGGTAGCACTATTGTTTGTTTTCCAGATGATGGTGAGGAGCTAGAGCATGATGGGACACAGGAGGACCCAACCTCCCCAGCCCACTGGCACCCACAGAGAGACAGGCAGCTAGACATGACTGAAGAGGATGAGGACCGAGCCAGCTCAGGGGACGTGGAGAGACAGGAGGGGGACTGGGAGGCAGGGAGTGAAGGGGAGCTCTCTTTCGAGGGCCAGTATGGCTCAGAGTACAGCACCAGCCCCGATGCTCTGCGGGACGCCCAGGCTCTGTACGGGGACTACGGCAAATCCTTCAGCTTCACCACGGACGGCAGAGAGGAGCTTTCGGGACACTCCGACGTCAGCCCGCCCCCCTCCAGCACCCTGCTGGAGCGCTCCCACAAGCCAAGCCAGAGAACGGGAGCTGATGTCTTTGAAAGCCAGAGCCAACTCGGAGAGAGCCTGGAGTTCCCCGCAGAAACGGAGTCCTCGTCGCCCTCAAGCGGGCACCTGGACAGCCCCGAGCTGAGCCCGCTGGCTGATTCCAGACACTGGAGCCTGAGCCGGAGCCTCCTGCAGCACCTGTCTGTGGAAGACCTTCAGAATGCCCCGAGCATCGACGCGGAGACCTTCCCAGAATCCTCCTATACTGAGAGCGTGGAGGACCCTCCCCGAACCATCTCCAAGGCAACCTCTGCTGCTCGAGCTAGGGCATCCCACCGCCGCCCTGTGCCTGCAGCCGAGCCTTCGGAGAGCTCAAGGCTCAAGGCAGCAGAGACTCCCCTTTCCCTACGGCAGGCTGGCAGCCAGCAGCAGGACAGGGCTCGGAAGCTGAAGAAGGCCATTTCCCCAGCACTCCCTTCCAAGTTCAGCAGGCAGTCCAGGTCCCTGAGCCCTCGGGGGAACGCCAGTAAGCAGGCAGAGCGGTCTGGCTCGCCCAAGTCAGGCCCCACCAGGCCGTCCCTGGCTGCAGCCGAAGTCTCGCGATACGGGCGAGGCCAGCTCAACTACCCGCTGCCGGATTTGTCCAAGGTGGAGCCGCGGGTGAAGTTCCCAAAGGACGATCAGAGTTACCGCCCTCCGCGGAGCAGGACTCTGCCCATGAGGGCCAGGGGGTCAGCAAGCCCCGTGGTCTTCAAGTCTCCTGCGGAGATCGTCCGGGAGGTGTTGCTGAGCAGCGCGGAGGGGTCCCCGCAAAAATGCCCTACCCCTTCCACCACCATGGTGCCTGAGGAGTTCAAGTCCCCGCAGCAAGCCACTGAGCTGGTGAAGCAGTTGCAGGTAAGTTCCACCTCTCACAAACCAGGGAAACCTCACTAGGAGAGAGACCAGGGATCTCTATGCAGGATTGAAATCAGAGGGCCCTCCCTTTTCACTCCTAGCATAGGATCATAGAATATCAGGGTAGGAAGGGACCTCAGGAGGTCATCTAGTGAAGTCCAACCTTGGTCAAAGCAGGACCAATCCCCAGACAGATTTTTGCCCCAGATCCCTAAATGGCCCCCTCACAACCCTGAGTTTAGCAGGCCAATGCTCAAACCACTGAGCTATCCCTCTCCCCTAAGAAGCTGGGCAGAAAGGGGCCACAGAGCATGGAGGGAATAAATGTTGGCACCTTCACCTGTACGGTGTTGCCTCTGGACTAGGAGACAATGCTGACTGGGGACGTTCATCCCTCTGGAATTCCGGTCAGCACTGCCACGGGGCAGATCATTGCATGGGGTGTTAATGACGGGGCATTAGAATTAACCATAGGGAAACCACAGTCACTTATTCAGGTAGAATATTGTGTGCGCATGTGTGCGGAGGGGGAACTCATTTTTGATGTCTTGATTCTTGGTTTGCAGACGAAATTCTGAAGTCCCTATTATCTGAAGCCCTGGATGTAAATGCTGCAGAAGCATGTGCATGTGCAGTGTATGTGTGTCTGTACACATGCACCGGGCACTTTCATACCCGGTGGCTAACTGCTCCTTCAGCATCCACCTTCCCCCAGCTGGACATTTATGTTGCTATATAAATACTCAGTGACAGCAACACCCCTACGTGACCCTGACGTGTGCTCTCCTCCTTCTCCTTCCAGGAGGACTACCACAGACTGCTGACCAAGTATGCTGAGGCTGAGAACACCATTGACCGGCTGCGGCTGAGAGCAAAGGTACAACGGCCAGGGAGCCTGAAACAGGCCAGAGATTGGGAACGCACCCCTCCTTGCAGATGTTTCCTCCAGATGGGGGCTGTCACATTGGGCCGGCAGACTCTCAAGAGCAGGCTGCGTGTGAGATTTACAATAGTAATAGTATTTAAGATGGGGAGGGATCGTTATCTCTATTTTACAGCTAGGGAAAGCCAAGCACAAAGAGGTGAAGTGACTCCCCGTGGTCACGCAGCAGGGAATAGAACCTTAGTCTCTTGCCTCTCAGTCCAGGACTCTAGCCACTGGGCCGCACTGCCTTCTGGCCAGAGATTGCTCAAGACCTGCCCTTTTCATGGTATTGTGGCAGCCCTGATCTGAGTCAGAAGCAGAAAGTGCCAAGGCAGCCAGGAAATTATGGAATAAATTACCCAAGCTCTTCGGAGCTTCTGAAGAGATTCACTTGTGGTTTGAGAGCAGGGCGAGTGTCGTGGTTGGTTCCCATTTCATTCGGCCAGGTTTTCCCTTGTCGATGCGGGAGCTTGAGGAGCAAGCAGGGGTGCTGCATGTGGGGATCTTAAGCCTTCCCAAAACCAGAGAGGGTGGCCGCGAGCTGTTCCGGTTTATGCAACTCAGGTGCAGTTCTGAGGATCGGGCTCCTGCCAAATTGCCAGAGTGGCTTGTCCCTGGTTGAAACTTGGATTGTCTCTAAGGTTCAGAATCTGCCCCCTCAGCCTGTCTGCTCATGAGGGGGACTGTCTGTCTCCAGGGTTAATATCAATCTGAGCAGTATGGATTCATACGCACACCCCAGCGAGGGCAGCAGTCTGATTTCCATCCCAGGTTTGGTGAGTCTGACAGCACCTGCGCACGTGGAGGGTTAGTTGCTCAGTAGGAGCCTGGCTCCCAGCAAAAGGCTCCATCTCTACTCCCCTTCCAACGGCCCAAGCTTTGAATTCGCAGCGTCCTCGCACGCTGCCTCTTGCTTCCTTCCTCTTTCTGGGGAGCTGCCGAGCTGCGGTTTAGCGAGCGCAGCGCTGGGGGAAGGGAAGTCGAAATCTGGCGCAATGTCACGTTGCGAAGCTTCTCGCTGTCTCCCTGTGGCGGGGCGACGACTCACCGGCGCGGCGCCTCCTGCTGGTTGTCCAGGGAATTAGCTCTTTCCCCGCTCCGGAGCGCCCTCTGCTGGCTGAGGTCTCGCCTGCCGCTGGCCCCCCGTGTCCCTTCCGGACCCCGGTGCCCTTTGCCCAGGGGTTCTGCCCACCGCAGTACTCCCTCTGTCTCTGGGTCTCCCCTCTCAGGGGAATCCCCCCAACCCTCCTATCCCCACCTTGCCTCAGTGGCTACTGCCAGTCACCATCTAGCCCCCACTCACTGGGGCAGACGGCAGTCTATAAACCCCTCATCGCCGGCAAGGGGGGTTGGACCAGCTGCCTCTGCCTATCTCTGGGCTGCCCCTCTGCAGCCTCAGTACCTTCGTGGGCCCTTAACTCGGCCTGCAGCCTGGGGCTTTGCTAGGCTGGAGCTCCCCAGCTCCCTCTGCCCTTCCCCAGCACTGCTCCACCCTAGGTACCCTCCTCAGCTCCCGGGCAGCCAGGTCCTTCTCTCTCAAAAGGCTAGAGAGAGTGTGTCTGTTTCCTTCCTGCCCCCTGCTCTCTTATAAGGGCCAGCCGGGCCCTGTTTGCACTGGCTGCAGCGAGGGCTGCTTTCCCCTGCCACAGCCCTCTCCCAGGGCTGTTTTAAGCCCTTCAGGGCAGGAGCGGGGTAACCACCCCGCTACAGTCCCCTCCTCCTTCCCTTCCTGTTCGAGGCCAAGCCCCGCTCCCCGTGTCCGGCAAGAAAAGAGACGCCGCTGAAGCTGGGTGCGTGTTGCAAACCCCCCCCCCCCCCCATGACCGTTCATGTGCGTTCTGAAGTGGCTCTTGCGTGCCTGCCTCTGGTAGGTTCACTTGCCATCAATATTCTGGCCCAGGAGTTTGCTGTCGGGAACCTTCGCAGAGATGGCAGGGCTGGTTCTGTGGTACCCTGCACCTGGTGGTGCTGGGCCTGGGTGAAACCGCAGCTGCAAGGCACGTGCTGTGTGCAGATGCACTAAGACGGGGGGGGGGAGCTGCCCCCTGCAGTTGTTTCTTTGTTTCGTATGTAGCTGGAACCAATGAGGAATACACACTCTTTCCTGCCATCCATTAGGCAAATGGTCTGCTGCAGGTGCAGCCCGGCTCGTTCGCTCTGTCTAAAGTACTTCTCTGGCCCCCATCACCATAGCACGGGGTGGGCAAACGTTTTGGCCCGAGGGCCACATCGGGGTGTGGAAATTGTACGGCAGGCCTTGAATGCTCACGAAATTGGGGGTAGGGGTGCAGGAGGGGGTCAGGGCTCCGGCTGGGGGTGCGGGCTCCGGGGTGGAGCCAGAGATGAGGAGTTCGGGCTGGGGCAGGGGGTTGGGGTGCAGGGAGGTGGTGGTGAGGGCTCCGGCTGGGAGTGCGGGCTCTATGGGGCTGGGGATGAGGGGTTTGGGGTGTAGGAGGGTGCTCCGGGCTGGGACTGAGGGGTTCAGAGGGCGGGAGGGGGATCAGGGATGGGGCAGGCTGTTGGGGCACGGGGGGGTGAGGACTCTGGCTGGGGATGCGGGCTCTGAGGTTGGGCCAGGGATGAAGGGTGTGGCGTACAAGAGGGGGCTCGAGGCTGGGATCAAGGGGTTCAGAGGGCATGAAGGGGATCAGGGCTGGGGCAGGGGATTAGGGCACGGGAGGGGCTCAGGGGTGCAGGCTCCGGGCGGCGCTTACCTCAAGCAGCTCCCAGAAGCATGTCCCCCCCTCTGGCTCCTATGCGGAGGCGCGGCCAGGTGGCTCTGCGTGCTGCCCCGTTTGCAGGCGCCCTTCCTGGCCAATGGGAGCTGTGGGGGCGGTGCCTGCGGACAGGGCAGCATGCAGAGCCACCTGACCATGCCTCCACATACTACGTAGGAGCCGGAAGGGGGTTATGCCAGCTGCTTCCCGGGGCAAGCTCCCAACCACGCTCCCCAGCTGGAGCTGAGGGCTGGACGCCCCGGAGAAAAGCCGCGGCTGAGAGAGCTGGCAGCAGTCCGCCTGCTGTGATCATCCCAGAGCAGGGGGAGGCTGTGCGGACGCGCTCAGAGTGGGGACGGTCTGTCTGGGATGTGGCGGGGCTGGCTGAGGAGGGTCGGTCTGTGAGCAGGGCTTTGGGGGGAGGCCCCGGTGAGAGGAGTGACTGGGGCTCAGCGTGGAGGAGGCGCTGTCTGTGAACAAAGTCTGTGTCTGGCTGGGGGCAGTCCGTCTGGGAATGCAGCTTGGATGGGGAGCCCAGCCATGTGCAGGGAGGTGGGGCATGGACAGGTCGTTGTCTGGGAATGAGGCCTGGGGGTAGAAGGGCAAGGGTCTAGCTAGGCTTGGGGTGATGGAGAGACACCCTCTGGGAGTGGGGGCCTCTGTGGGGTGAAGGGTCTATTAGTGACCAGGGTTTGGAAGTGAGAGCAGGGGACCATCCCTAAGCAGAGCACGTCCCTCCCTCTTCCTGCTCGGTGTCTGGTCCCCTGTCTGCAAGGCCCCCCCCAGGCCTGGTGAAGGCCCGTGCTCCCCTGCAGGGTTTGGAGCTGTCATCTTGGCTGGCACGGCACATCTCCCTCTGGCACTGCCGTGCGACGCGACAGGGGTTGACACGTCTCAGTGTAACATCTCACGTGCCAGGAGCTCCCTGGGCTCAGGGGGGCGCTGTCACTCTGCACTACAGCATCCCAGCCGCAGGATCGCTGTGTACCCGCTCCCAGGTCCCGGCTGGCTGGGGAGACAGGGGGCCTCTTTCAGCACCATGGCCCTGCAGGCAGACAGGTGTGGGTGAGGGCTGATCCCCGCCCCATCTGGAGCCCAGCCTGGGGGTCCCCCTAGGATAATGGGTTTGGCAGCCTGTAGATATGGGGTGGAACCTCTTTTTCCCAAAGAATCCATCCAGCTCTTAAAGCGACAGTGCAGCACCCAGCGCTATTCTCCAGGCTTTCCGGTTGTTCAGCAATACACTCTCCTCTGCATCACACGGGGAAGGTTTATTGGTGAACTCAGGGGCTGGGGGGACCGAAGTGCAGGCTCCAGCTGTGCTACAAACATGAAGGAGCAGCTCCACTCTGCTCGAGGTGACATGGCCTGGAATAATGCTTTGCACTGTTTCAGCACCTGCCCTGTGAGGACCTCAAAGCACATTAGACATTAAACCTCCCCTCTTGAGGTAGGGGCTCTCCCCGCTCTACACACACAGGAACGGAGACACTGAGAACGTTAAGGACCTGATTTTCGGAACAGCTGAACACCCCACCCCTCCAGCTGTCCATTGGAGTTGCAGGTCCTCCGCGCTTCTGAAAATCAGGCGTCAAGTGACTTGCCCAAAGTTACCCAGCCAAGTCAGAGCTGGGAAAGAACCCAGGAGTCCTGACTCCCAATTCCTTTTTCTAACCATTAGTAAAGACTAACCCTCAATATAGGGAAAGTAGCATTAGCTTTAGTATAGACCAGAACTAATCACCAGCCGAGAGCATCGCTTATTTGTCAGAATTCTACATAGGATCAGTACCGCCAGCCCATCCCTCTGGGGAAGCCAGTCCTTAGTCCCCTTAGGGAAAGGGCTTGCTGGTTAGGAGAAGTAAGACAGAAAGAGGCAGATTGACGAACGCTGGCCTCCATTTGTTGGGCGCACAAATTGCAGATGAAAATAATTGGGGTGTGTAGAGCGGGGTAGTGTTCTGGGCCGGCAGTTTAGGTCAGGTAGATAGCTAGGGGTCTCAGCTCCACCAGTGAGGAGTGTAATATAAATGCCTGAACAGCTCTAAGGCCCTGATCGTGGATGCAAACACGGAAGCCTGCTTAAGACTGAAGGTCTGGCCGAAACTAACAGAGAACAGGGACTGCTATGCGTTTCCTCTGGACCCCTTCTGGAGAAGCACTGCAGTGTGTCTTTAAATAAGAAAGAATTAGGCTCTTAAGCCTGTGACTTATCGTAGTCAGTGACTATTTTAT